GCAAATAACTCACTCAAGTTTGTGCAGTTGATGTCTTTATTGTTTAGGGACTACCATTTACATCTGTTATCTGACCTTCAATACATCCCTTTACAAGGAGAACCTTTAGAAGGAGAAGAATCTGAATTGATTCTACACGTACTCTATTCTAATTTATTGGGAGATTTTGTTGAGTCAAAGTTGACATCAAGACATATCTCATGGCCTTAGTATATTCTCCCTGCCTTTGATCTAGCAATGAGTTCACCTAGTTTATTTGATGAATCCATTGCACCCCTCTCCACATGACGGGGAGGGAAATTTTTTGAGTTTACATGTCTTTATTAATTTTTTTTGGGAGGTTGAAGAAGACGGGATTAGAGAGGGACGGTAAGCTTAACAGTTTTGAGGTTCGAATGTAGGATATAGATATCCATTTCTGGACTTCACACGTGTACCTGTTCGTTATGTTTTTGGGAGAGTAAGCTAAACGGTTGAGGGTCAATTATAAGATCATATTTATATCCCAAACAGAACTTATGCGCCTTCTCTTTGGTCTGTCAAACTTTTGCCCCCATGCATCTCATTTTTATTTTACAACTCTACAAATAATAACTACGGGAAAATTACGAAAAATTGCTTACCTAATAGCTGAAATGTCTGCTATTCTTTGACAGCATAAATGTACGTTTAGTAATTTTAAAAAATATATAAGTTACCAAGTGGAGGTCGGCCAAAAAACTTCACGGATCAAAAACGAAGTTAGGTAGCAATAAAAGCTGAACTCTTTTTGTTTTACATGAGGTTACATGAGTTCAATTTAAATATATTCATAAATTTGATGATTTTTATAATAATTACTTTAATACTGTATTCGGATGAAGTATTTTTTAAAGGATTATTCAATATTTTAGAAATTTAAAGTATTTGATGACGAAATATGTTATTTAGGTAAAAAAAATTAAAAATATAAAATTATAAGAGTATTTTAATTATTTAATTGTAAATTTCACAAATATAAGAATTTTAAATTATTGTTGCTCTTTTTCTCTGACATCTAAGTATTTTTTTTTACGATATTTTTGTTTTTACTCCTCAAAAATTATATATTTAAAAGTAAAAGTTGTCACTAAAATTAACTTCTTAAATTTGTATTTAGTTTTTTATTTTTTATATACACTGGAAATTAAATTACCGTGTCTAAATTAAGAAATTTAAATTAAAAAGGTTTGAATTGATTCATACAAAGAAAAATTTGAAATTTATAAACTTAAATTAAAACAGTACCAATTACAAACATCACCAAATTCTCAAAATTTTAAAATTTCTCACTCGATCCAACTTAAAGATTTTATTAGCATGATTTATGATTGATTAATATTCTCATCAATTACACCAGCCATATACGTAAGTTAAACTCTTATTTTATTAATTAGGAAGAGTTGCCATAGAAAGCCATAGTTTTGCAATAAATTAACTTAAATAACAATAGTAATTATAAATATTTTCCCTCAAAACAATACTTACTATACAATTAGAGAAAAAAAATAAGTTTCCAGCTAAGGTAATATGATATGATAAAAGAAAATAAATGTGTATATGTGTAACAAAATTAAGGTCTATGTGTATCATTGTTCTTTTTTGGTTTAATACCTCTTTTGGTCCCTCGAAAGGGGGCAAATGTTCAATTTGGTCCTACCTTTTTTTTGAAGTTCAATGTGGTCCTAATTTTTGTAAAAAGTGTGCAATCAAGTCCTTTTTGGAAACGGCGTTGATTTTTTAACGGAGCAGCTGACAGGGTGGACTGAAGTTAGCTACGTGACTGTGTGAGGGTAATACGTGGCTGTGTGAGGGTGATAAGTGGCTGTGATAGATTCTCCAGCAGCATCCTTAATAGTGAACCACACGATTACCATGCTCCTGTGAAACAAACTGCTCTTTCCATTCCACAAAACAGTGATTGTTCACGACCATCTTAAAGAGAAAACCAGCAGGAGTTAACAGAACACCAGATATGCACTTGTTTTCAAAACAATGGCAAAGGGTGCAGACCCATTGGATTCACCAGTCCAAAAAGACAATCAACCAAATCCATAACATAGAGGAAGAAGCTTTCAGCATACCATTATCCTAATATAAACAACCTTTTGAACAACTTCAGTCTCCCCACTACTAGGAAGAACCCTTCTCTGCTTAACAATAATATGAGTACTACATAAAACTAACCAGAATCCTCAAAAACCAAGTACTTTTTCATGTGGGGAAAAAGTCAGAAACCCTAATTAAGCTTGCATACCCTCCAAATTACATCAAACAAAAGAAGACAAAAACCCCTTAGAAATTATAAAAGGGTTTAAAATCAGATAAAAACATCCTGTAATGTTCACTAATCGATCCCTTTTTTCCAATCTAGCAAGCCTCCAAAGAGGCACGATCCTCGTCTCCAGAAACTTGAAATGCTCCAAAGTTTACCAAAGCCACAAAAACCTCAAACAAACATATGTGCCTCCGAATAGATCAGAGAGAAACCCTTCAGGAAATCTGATCCAGGAGCCCAAAAATCCAACAGGAAGAGAAAAACTGGGCCTTTGGCTGCTCCAGAGGTGACAATCAGTCAAAGGTCGAAAGAATATTCCAATTGAAAGAAGAAAAGGGGTCCCAATAGAAAGACTGAAACTTTATAGCATACCCTGAGTATAAATGGTGAGTATAAATGGTGACGGTGATCCCAGATGAGTCAAGAAAGAGGGACAGCGGTAAAGGTTTGGTCTGTGGGAACACTGAAGAGGAAGAAACGGCGTGGGAGGGAAAAGACAGGGGTGAGAGATGATGAAAGGGAAGATAAAGAAGAAGAAGAAAAGTACCTTAAGATTGCCATGAACATGAAGATGAAGAGAAAAGTACCCTCACACAGCCACATATCACCCTCACATAGCCACGTATTACCCTCACACAGCCACGTAGCTAACTTCAGTCCACTCTGTGAGTTGCTCCGTTAAAAAATCAACGCCGTTTCCAAAAAGGATCACACTGAACTTCTTAAAAAAGGTAGGACCCAACTGAACATTTGCCCCCTTTCGAGTGACCAAAAGAGGTATTAAACCTTCTTTTTTATATGTAATATTCTCTTTCTAAATCAATCCTTTAAACTAAGTTAGTCCTTTTCAATTATGCAGCACAAAAATACATACATTTATCCAATATTTTTTTACTGAATAAACATATTTATATATAAATATACACATATATTTATCCAATGCATATATACATGTATTATGTATATAGTATAAACAAATAATAATAATTCTAATTATGTCATTGAGACACATAGATAAATGTCATGATGATGTTAAATTTGATTTTTACTTTATTTCTTCATTTCTCAACCTGATTTTATAAAAATTGATCATTATTACAGAATGTGTTTATTTGTCTTCCCTGACAAGAAAAGGAGAAGGAAGAGAAGGGGGCGCGTAATAACGGTTACAGAAGTTTGGGCGGAACGTAACCGTTCTGCAGAAGCCGCTCTGCAACAACCATTCTCCGCCGATCGATGTCAGTCACAGACGAATGCTGGCTCCGTTTCCACATTAATAATTCGTTTGGTTCAAATTCACAATCTCCCTCACGTTCCTACAAACACCATGGATTAATGTATGACAATCCAGCCATCGTGATGCATGTGGGTGACAGAAGCTTCATGATTCTTTCCAACGGAAGCTATCGGCGATCGTCAAGCATGAGCGTCAAAGACGACACATTTTACTACGACAAGCCTCCTTCCCAAACGCTCAACCTCTCCATAATCAAATTGGACGCCTCTTTCTTCCGTAATTCGATTCTCTTTCTTCTATTTTTGTAACTCTTTTCATTTTTTTTCTCTCATTTTATTTTCGTCAAACGTTCCTGGACATTGAATTCATGCATGATTCTGTTTGCAGGCATTGAAGTCTCAAAGGAAGCAACTGTTGCAGAACTCAAGCAGGCTGTCGAGGACATTTTCGCTCACGTGCCTCTGAAGGGCGCGGGGAAAATATTGTGGTGTGTGTATTAATTGATTAATTTAATAAAGATCTTACGTATGTTTCTGAATGTGTAATTTCACTAATTTGATTTTGTAAATTCTATACGTTTTTATTATAAGTAAAACAGGGGAGTTTTTTCCTTTTTTTTCTTTTTTTTTTTTTTAAATATGGAGTTTCTATTTACTTAATTAGTTCATCATCATAATATGTTGCTGGGTTTTTCTTTGAATTATTATTCATTTGTTTCTGTAGGCCACTTGTTTGGCGGCAATTCTGCTTATCCTATCAAGGACATAAATTAGTTACAGAGACGGATTACCTTCGAGATTATGGCATCAAGGATGGTGACCAGGTTTGTGTCAGATTTATTGAAGAGCCAGCTTCATCCTTGTATGCCTTCAACATAGATTATGATTATATTTTTCGTGTGACTTTGACGTGGCAATACTACATTCTACCAAAGATTTGAAAATGGAGTCTAAACTTGTTTTGTTTTTACTCTATAGTTTCATTTGTATGATGTGTTGTGGTTAGGATGTAGAACTTAGAAGCCTGTAGCTGTTATGACCATTGACTCATGTTTGTTTTGGTCTTTGCAGCTTCATTTCGTGCGCCATATATCTGACACTGACAGTTACAATAAGCAGTCAAAGAAACGATATTTCAATTTGAAAAATAAACGCATGAGGTATGCAGTTTTCAATATAACCATACAAAGCATTACGTTGCCATCTTGCATGTGATGAAATTTACTTTTGTACTGTCATTGTTGAAAATCAGCTCTATCGGGCTATGAGCTATCTACCCTATAACTTTATCTCATTTCTAATTAAACTGTGTTGATGCATTGTGGTGCCTTCCAAATGAAATTCACGAATAATACACGACCCGTTTTAATTTAACCTTTTCAGTTACATGTCAAATATTTAGATAAGTAGATGCTGCAGATTTGTATAGTGTGTTTCTTTATTAAAGGTATACAATTTAAAATCATAGAAGACACCGTAGCTAGAGAGGTCTTAAATATGTGATATGCCTCGAAAATTACCATTATGATTATTTTATTAGAACTTAAATGATTTTCTTTGAAACGGTGTGGAACCACTAAGATGGGAAATTTGGAAATTCGTCTTGTTGAATTTCATGCACGTTGCTATAATGTTCTCAAACAAGTCCTTACACTACTTGGATGATATCAATGGAGGTGCAGGTCATCTCATCAACTGAATATATATCAACGGACAGAACATAACGATGACGAAGACGACATTGGTTTGAATGGTATAGTCATAGAGAATGGGAATATCCAGAATTACAATGCAGAAATTCGAGGAGGAAAGAGCTGGCTATCTGGTTTTTTGGGAGGACTATTCTCACACAGCCGTCTGCCAGTTGTGAGAAGACATGGAACCGAGGGTAGGATTTGCTGCTCAATGATAGCAAGATTTATCGTGGGCAGTTTTAAAAAAATTAGAAGAGTTCTACGCTGTTGGAGGAGGCAGCATCACTCTCGGAGACCCACATGGAGAGAATTTTGATGGAGTTTGCACTTTAATCATTTTAACCTCTTGTCTTTATACCCACTGTAAAGAATTTTTCAACAGTACTTGCTTTGTTTAGTTTATGGTCTTCAGCGATAGAGACAATAATAACAGGACGAAACACGGGCTCGTACCATATTGCGGTTGGACTTTCTCATATCACTGTACAGAACGATGTGCCTTGGGAATTGTAGTAAAAGCTCATAATGCTAAAGTCTATCAGGCACGACATACCTTTAGATTACTTAGTTGCTGCAGTTAGGGTCAAGGCCTACCTGCAATGGAAAAGTTTTTCAGTTGCTTTAATGTAACTAAGGATAATGATTTCCTACCCAATTTGTGACAAGGTAGAAAGTCATTAAAATTGTTGGTTTGTTTTACTCAATTGCAGCTGATTTTGACAGTGACATTCTTGTGCACTTATGCTACGGCATTTTCTTTTTAACTATTCAGTCCACATTCTTGTCTTACTTGCAAGTGAGTTACACCGAATCTGTATATTTGGGCCTAGGGAGAATTAAGTGGATAGGTGTTATTTGGGTAGACAACAAATGGGCCAAGGCCTGATCCATTTAGAAGGGAACATTCCAACTTGTTTGAGTGTCCTTCAGACTCCATTAGCCAGCCACTGCCACACAACCTCATGAATTTGTGTGGCGAAGAATTTAGATAGCCCTCCTCTCAAATCCTCTTCTTCTCTCCAATCCAATCCTCAGACTGAGCTGAGACACACATCCTAATCACCAAGCAGTAGCCATGGCAAACATGATTATGGCTTCCACCAAACCTTTGGTTCCAGTCTACACCAATTCTCGTTCTCCCACATCCAAACTTCCTATTCTCCAAATTTCACTCCCCAAAGTCCCAACCCTTAAACTGAAACTCCCAATATCCAAGCCCCAGATGCTATCCCTCCTGGGCGGAATAGCACCACTGATTTTGGCTCAGCCCTCCCTCGCAAGCGAAATAGAGAAAGCTGCATTATTCGACTTCAACCTGACCCTGCCCATTATAATGGTAGAGTTTCTGTTTCTGATGGTTGCGCTGGACAAAATATGGTTCACCCCACTTGGGAAATTCATGGACGAGAGGGACGCCGCGATCAGGGAGAAGCTAAACAGCGTGAAGGACACGTCGTCGGAGGTTAAGCAGCTGGAGGAGAAGGCGAATGCCGTGATGGCGGCTGCTCGGGCGGAGATTGCGGCGGCGCTGAACGCGATGAAGAAGGAGACGCAGGCGGAGGTGGAGCAAAAGATTGCGGAGGGAAGGAAGAAAGTGGAGGCTGAGCTGCAAGAGGCTCTGGCTAACTTGGAGAGGCAAAAGGAAGAAACCATCAAGTCCCTTGATTCCCAAATTGCAGATCTTAGCCAGGAGATTGTTAAAAAGGTTCTTCCCGTTGCTTAATATATGTATGTAATTTTCATTTCAATCCCCCCACCCCCCACCAAAGAAGAATTGATAGTTTCTACCTTTTCTCCTTTGGATGTGCCTCTTGTTTAATCGCTACACTGTTCAATGTAAAATCCGATATTCACGTATGAATTACCACCCTCCCCGTCCCCCCTGCCTTTATTCTAAAAGTTATGGAAAATGTAGGTAAAGTCCCCACCCGAGCCAAATTGTGGTTGCAATTTCTGACAATTCTTTATATTGTGAGAAAAAGCACCCGTAATTGCTCTTGCAGTGAGTTGAAAAATCTTTTTACTACAGTTGCATTTATGGTTGGGAACCATGCAGCTATGTGCATCCCTTCTCGTTGTATGTCAAAATTTTTTGGTTAAGGCAACAGGAGCAGGTTATCAGCATCATCAGACATTGAGTTATAATTTTGTTTTTGAAATGGGTTGATGTATTTAGTTTGTGACGAAGAATGGAAGCTGTTAATGAAAGACTGCCGGAGATTCTGCAGAACCTTTGATTGTTGTACATCGAATGAATTTATGGATAGAATCTAAGTGGCTCGTTAGGAAGTATCATGTGGATTCGTTTTGTTAATTTGATTGCTTAATCCATGCGAGCCGCAGACTGCTTTCAAAAGCATTTGGCTTTCTGATTTCCTCATCAGAGGTCAGGTTAACCGATGCCTATGGCAACTGAAATTTCACAGAATAACTGAAAAGGTCGTGTTAGAGAGGGAGACAGAACAAGATAAGGGAAATATAGTTAACTAATGCTCCTTAAAACCAATCACTACTGTAATTTTTACGTATTTATCTTTTCAATAGGTTACTGAGAGGATTCAAATCCCATGCAGTTTATTATGATATCTTAGAACCACAGCAAGTCATTGCCAGAAAAAGGAACCTATTAAAAAATTTCTAACCTTATTTCCAGATGGATAACCTCTTCGCTGATAATGCTTCACTGCGTACTTATAGTAAAGACATATTAGATAGACGATATGAAAAACCGAATAAACCGAATGGAGAAACAAGTTAGCACTATCAAATTCTTTTTTCAATAAATTGTTCTAGATTCAATAAAATGATGTAATGTTACATAAACTCTTGAATCATCAAGAAATAAAAGCAATAGCTTAAATTAATTTATGTAAAGTTTAGTACACTCTCAAGTCAAGAAATGAAACAATGTTCACATTGACCCCTACAATGATCGTGTTTTATCATGACAAAAATCATTTAAAAAAAGGTTTCCTATTTTTTATTCTTGTTGAGTATTGGTATAATAATTTGGTTAGTTTGATTCTATTTAATACTAATGAATCACTACACTTTATTATTGGGCGTTGATATTTTGTATTATTTTGAAATTGAAACGTTGAAGTACTATTCTACTAATAATATTTTGTAAAACCTATGCACTACAATTTTTAATATTATTTTTTCTACAGTGGAAATTCATTTGTTTACAATTCCACTCTACAATCAAGTTTATAGAAGTTTTACCATTTAGGAAAACTTTCAACTTTTTAAAGTTCAGACGAAATGTCTACCGAGTTCTATTTTAAGATTGGCACTAAAAGAATAAGTCAACTATATATTGATCCAGGAACTTTTTCTTAAACCTCCTTTTTAGGTGTTTAACTTAATTTGGATGTAACAATTTTACCTCAATTTTCTAGCCCAATTTATGCGCATTAAACATCAAAGTCCAAATTTTGGTAGTTATTCATGTAACTTGAAAAATAACTAGGACTAATAAATGAAAATTATTATTTTAAATAAAAATATAACTGATCAAAATTAAAAAAATTAAAATCACAACTACCCAAAAGCATTCTTGTCGATAAAATTAAAAATATATATATATATATATACAAACAACATCATATAAATATAAATTATAAACTTATTTGAATGATAAAATCATGGCAAGCACTCGGTAAAACCCAAGCAGAGGACTTCTACTATGCTATAATATGCGTTCAAACAAAATATTGATTTGGTGTTACTATTTTAATCCTTTCTGATTTTTTTTTTATTTTGTTGAGTGAAAGTTCCTTTACGCATAATGGCACTGTGCTTTCATGCTTCCACACTTTATTAACATAATTTTCCATACATAGTTACGTTTACATGATGTGATCTCTCTCTCTCTCTCTCTTTGTTAAAATATTCCATAAAACTATTGAATTATGAGAAACTGAGACGAACCTCATAAGCTATTTACACAAATTGAAACAAAAAATAACGCAATACATCACAGGTTCTTGCAAGACATAAGTAGAATATCGGAGTCAAATATGAATTAAAAGTGATATTTACTCATGATTTGTTTTGTATATCTCCACTCAAATGAACACATCTTACCTTCTAAAATACTAATTATGACAATTACTTATTCCAATCTTTTTATCAGTTTTTAGCACTTTTCCATCTTTTTTTTTCCTTTTGTAGTTGTAGATACATATCACACGTACTCAATTTCTATATTCTTATAATAAAAAAGAATACACCTTAGTTAAAAATTATAATAAATACTAACTTTAACTTGATTATGCCTATGGTTTATGAATGAAAATCAACCTGATACCAATTTTTTCTTTTACCAAAAGTTTTAGTCTTGTCAAATATCTATAGACAATATTCATCACATCACGTCACCTGTTGAAATGTCATTCCTACCCTTAGTTTAGTTCTGGTTTCTGTTCTTTTTTATTGAATTTCTGTAAACCTAACAATCTTCTCTGCTTACTAAGCCTTTGGTGTTTCTCAGTGTTCACGTTGTCGCTAAAAGATATTTCTTTCTTCTTCTGAGTACGTGCCCAGTGAATTTGGTACCTTTTTCTGTTTCTAATTTTCTTGTTTTTAACTTCTGCATGTTTTTCATGTTTCAAATTTTGTATTTCTCATATATATATTTATATATATATTCCCCTGATTTTTGTATTATTGTATTACTGTTCTTTAGTTCTGAGAAGTCGAAAAGTAGTTTGATGTGTGCATGTGTTAGCATGGTTGGTTGTCTCTGTGACTGAACCGCTACTTTTGTATTGTAAGTTGGAGCTGTGTTTAGGAGACTGCCTCAGTTCTTTGCAAGTAGAGCTTTTGAGGGGTTGACTCTGGCTTTAGTTGCCGCAAGATTGAATCTTTGAGGTTCGGCGAAGGGAAATTATCCAAATGAGTACTATGCTGTATTATTTTGAGTAGTGACTCGGTTTGATTCCTGACAATTTTATGGTTAAATATATTCTTCTTTAAAAATATGGAAGTTATTTTAATCCCTAGAGTCATCTATTTTCTTCCTGCTGAGAAGAGAAAGAACATATACGGCGTGTGACTGATTATTATGGATTATGTGGGTTTTTATATGTTATATTTTTCATGGATTGATGTCTCACCCCTTTTAAGGATCATCCTCTCTCAGCCTTATGGGGGATGAATTTCGGTATGAATATAGTACTCTTTAGTCAATCTTTTTTCTTTTTTACTCCGGTGAAGAAAAAGTATATTGGGATTCTTGACGAATATTCATGATAATTTATTGGATTCTTCTTCTTTTATTTATTTTTGCTGAATTATTTTATGGATGTTACATCATCAGATTAAAGAATGGCGCAAGATATTGGTACTCCACCAGTTCCTTTTGATTTTGAACTCTTGGTTGGTGATCCTGAGAACCTTAGAACTGTCAAAGCCTCATCCAGCAGCACGGACCCATGGATTGAACCTGAAAGGCTGAAACTTAGACACAGAATTGGTAGAGGCATCTTTGGTGATGTTTGGTTAGCAACTCATCATCAGTCAACTGAAGATTATGATGAGTATCATGAAGTTGCTGCAAAGATGCTACCCCCTATCAGAGAGGAACATATGAAGACTGCATTAGAGAAATTTTTTGAGTTATATTTTCAGTGCCAAGGAGCGGCTAGGGTGTTTTGGCTACTTGGGATTTCAATTTTAAATGGAAGGGTTAGCCATGGATTATGCATTTTATTCAGTATATGGGAGATCTTTAACTTCCTTTGTGAGACTTTGTTATATAGCTAATATATTTGTTTATACTCACAGATATGCATCATTATGAATTTTTATGAGGGATCGGTTGGTGATAAGATGGCTAGACTCAGAGAGGGAAGGATTTCATTGCCTGATGTTCTTAGGTAACGAGAGTTTGGTGTGTATGTTAAAATATTTTTACATGTTTATCTTTATAGTACATGGTGGAGAGGGAAGAATATTGGTCAATGCTAAGAGTGTGGTATTGGGCTTCAGGTATGGTATCGATCTGGCTCAAGGTATTCTTGAACTTCACTCAAAAGGGATCCTAGTTCTCAACCTTAAACCATCCAACGTGCTTCTCAAAGATACTGATCAAGCAATACTGGGAGATGTTGGTATTCCAAATATTCTCTTTGGTTCCTCATTCCTAAGCTCAGATACTGCCAATAGGCTTGGTACTCCAAATTACATGGCTCCAGAACAATGGCAACCAGAAGTCAGAGGCCCTGTATCCTTTGAAACAGATTCATGGGGGTTTGGGTGTACTATTGTGGAAATGTTGGTTGGTAACCAACCTTGGTATGGGTGTCCTGTTGGTGAAGTATATCGATCAGTTGTTGAAAATTATGAAAAACCCCAGATTCCTGGTGGCCTTCCTTCTTCAGTTGAAAATGTCCTCAGTGGCTGCTTTGAATATGACTTGAGGAATCGCCCTTCAATGGTAGATATTCTGTCTGTCTTTAGAAGGTATGTTAGTTTCAATGTTCAAAGGAAGTTTCTATGATTAGGTGGCCTTTTTTTGTATGCATATAACCTAGTATGTTAGATATTCCAAGTTACATTTATTTTGGGTCACATGTATTTTTTCCTAACCTTTCTTGTTCTTGACATTCATATTTTGGAAAATTGTTGGGATTTTAACCTTCATTTAACATCAAAAACTGCATTTTCTAGGATGATATCAAAACTGGCATTTGACATGCTCTGTGTCAGTTGTCCTAGGCATGAGTGGGAGTGTTGGTGAGTTACCTTAAGTCACCCTTGATCCAGTTTAGTCGTGGCTTCTCTCGGCTTCCTTAATTAAAAGGGGGCTGTTTAGTCCTACAACAACTAGAGAGACAGCCTAAACCGAGCTTACAACGCTCAGGTAGTCCTCACCAGTTCTAAAAATTCCATTTGTTGATGGTTTAGTGTCTTGCAGTACATTGTCTGAATAAACATAATATTGTTTAGATCAATCAATTATAATTTAAGATCCTACATGACTGCATAACATGTGAAACATTTTGTTTCGTTGAAAAGGCACCGAGACAAAGCATCCGGTGCATATTATCTAGCTGGTGATTTGGTTACTCATTTTGGTAGCAAGTCCCTCATTGTAACTTGAATCTTGCAAAGCTTGATTGTGAACTTTGAACATTTAACAGACAGTGAATTTGTTGAGAATTAAACTATTCTACACTTATGTTTAGAAATAACCTGAGATATTTTTTGTTCTGGAAAGTGTTAAAACAATAATGTTTGAGAAAAGTCTGCATTTGTTTTTTTCCAAGCATGATTATTTCAGTGGAATTCTATTTATATTCAGTAGTTCTTTATTTTTATTTGTTCTGCCTACCTTGCAGCGCACGGAATGCAATGGTCAACGATGGAGGATGGAGATATCTTGGAATTCACAAAACATTAGAAAAATCAAGTAGCACGGGCTACACACAGTGGTCCCTCTCAAAGGATCATCTTCAGGTGGGCGATACCGTGCGCTCTAGAAAGCCTTCCAATTCATGCAATCCACAGAACATGGAGGTCCCAGAAGGAAATGTTGTCGGCAATGCAGATCATGGATTTGTTTTAGTGAGGCTCCATGGAGTTCATGACCCTGTAAGGATTCATGCGTCAACTCTTGAACGTGTCACCAATGGTTTAGGAGCCGGGGATTGGGTGCGCATTAAGGAAGAAGATGATAAACACTCGCCAGTGGGTATTCTTCATTCTATCAATCGTGAGGGCAGAGTGACTGTTGGATTTATAGGCCTACGAACTCTTTGGAAAGGAAACTGTTCAGAACTTGAAATGGCAGAGTCTTACTGTGTGGGGCAATTTATTAGGCTGAAACCCAATGTTCTAAGTCCCCGGTTTGAATGGTTGCGTAGAAGGGGAGGTACCTGGGCTACTGCTAAGATTTCTTGGATCCTACCAAATGGATGTCTGGTTGTCAAGTTCCCTGGCATGTTGAACATCTGGAATGCACCAAACACTTATTTGGCTGATCCCTCTGAGGTTGATGTGGTTAGTTTTAAGAATTGTCCAAATATGATAGAAAAGTATCAACATGTTGAGGATCACCACTGGGCAATTAGACCTGTTCTAATTGCATTTGGCCTTCTTAGCACTGTTAAACTAGGGATTTCAGTTGGAAAAAAAATTGGCAGGAACATGAATGTGAATGCAATGGAGAATGAAAATCATTATACTGATAGCCAGAATGCTAGCAGCCCTACATCTACATGGAAATCTTCAGTAGCTAACATCCTTTTCAGAGAAGGTAGTTAACATGTCCACTGGGCGGTAGTTTTACCCCTTCAATCTCAATATTATTTCATCAGCTGTTCTGCCATGTTGCTGTTTGACAAACATGTCACATGAGAATTGTAATTATGTATAGATGCCAACACTGAATGTAAAAATTGTACAAATGCCTTACAAACAAAAATAGCCAGCTATGTTCATACTTAGTTTCCACAAATGCTGACCATAATGAACACTGGAAAATTCATGATATACTTGTCCCTGAAGCATTGTTTGACTGGATTGTACCGTTGAAGTTGTGAAGTATGTTGATAAATGCTTGTAAGAAACTCTCGTATACACTCTAAACACGTTCACTAAAATTTCCATTAAGGTATTGCTTTCACATTTTATTTAATGATTTTCTATTATTTTCTAATTTAATTGAGTTTTACGTATTCTCTCCATTTCTTCTTGAACTACTGCTTTCAAAGTTTAAGACAATATTAAATTACCTTCTTTTGACAATAACATCTTAATTTTTATCTAGGATTTAATTATTACATCAACTATCTCATGGCCATAAATCTGTCATTTCTTCCATTAGCACAGTCATTGATTTGAATTTGACAAAATCATTGATAAATTGAGCTAAAAAGAGCATTAATTGATTAATGGAAGCTGAACGCACGTACAGTTGTTTAAATGGAGTGAAAGTGGCACCCTTTCCCATTAGCCCACTATCACTATGACAAATTTAAGACACTGTCGCAGAGAATCTGATACGGTTAGACCTGCTCTTCTGCTTTTAGGTTTTCCACACTAAAATAAGCAAAGAGGTACTGTACGCTACAAAACATTGTTGTTATCACATATAACTTTTCTATCACTCTTTTCATTTAATAATATCAATTGATATCTATAGATATATAAAAGTTGGAAAAAAGTATTAATTTTCAGTAAAAAAAAAAAAGAAGAGAGAAAGAAGGAGTTTTCCTTAAACATGTATATTTGGAGTGTACATATAAATATTTGGGAGTGATTCAATAAATTTAATAAATAATAAATTTCATTAAAATAGGTGATAAATAATTTGACTATGTTTTTATCAAGTTTAATAATTTTGAGTAGCTTACAAATTAAGATGTAAAACACTTAAAATACTTTTTTTATCGGACAAAATCGTAATAAATTTTTAATTTTCAAAATAAATAATATTTTTTATATGTTACTCGATATTATCAGAACAGATATTATTTTAAGAAGTTAGTTAGCTATTGAGTTTAATTTAATTTTAAATGAAATTTGCAAATTAATTTGATGTGTAGTTAAATACAAGAAAAGAAAAGATTTGAAGAGGCTAGTCCTGTAAAAAATATAAGGTTTTCAGAAACAGCATGATTAGAACCTCGGACCATACTAAAACCCAAGCTAGAATGTCTCTTTCGTGAGCGATAGCAAGTTGCTTTGAAGAATCAATCATCTTAAACTCTTTCTTGCGTACCCAATTAATATACACATGCAGATTTCAAAGATTACGACCTGATTCGCTTTTCTCTCTGTTCCTTCACGTCTTTCTCTTAATTGGCTTCTTAGTGCTTCGGATTCATACCTTCATTATAAATATATTTTTTAATGCTACCATTACATTATGGAGATTATGGTACACTTAGATTAGATACTCCTTTTATTCATATATACAAAGGATCAACCCAAGATTTCGTAATCTTAAGTCTTTCAAACTTATCAAATACTTGTTACAAATTTATTTAATGCTCATAATCACTTTTCTTTTTAACTTTAATTACCAATTATCCATAGTAAAAATAATAACTAACGACGTGAAGAACTTAACTTAGATGTGAAATGATATTATTCGTTTCGGAAACTCTTAGGATATTATATATTATAGTTAATGTATAAAACAAAGTCTATCACGAAAGCTATCGCCGAAAGAAACAACCTATGATGAGAGCTTCTGCAACTAACAATATTTTATGAAAAACTTATTCGGAATCCATTTTTTTATACACAGAAATGCTTCATTAACATTGCTCTTTTCTTTTTTTATAATTTCCAGAACCCCACACTTGCTCGGGCTGTAGAATTAAAGTGCTTTGCTTCTGTTAAAAAAAAATTAAGTATGATTGAACGATTAAAGTATATTCTTACGAACTAATCACCACTCAAAAAGTTTTATCAATACTTAAATTCTTTTAACTGTGTTTTATTTTAACTGGATTGAAAATATGGTGTTCCTATAGTGACAGATGACAATCGTTGTCAGATCAATTTTTTAAAGATGATTTTGTATAACTGTTATCAAAATGTAGAGTATGCAATAATGACTTCAATGTCATCTATTTTATTTTTTTTAATGTTAAAGGGTTTTTTTTTTCACTTACTATTGTTAAAGTCATAATCTTTGTCGTCTTTAGTCTACTTTTTAATATTGATTTAGTTTTATAATTATTCCAAATCTTCATCAACTGATTTATTCACTTTTCATAATTTATAATTATCAACCAAAGTTTATTTTGAATCAATATATAATTAAATTCAACGTAATCGCACTAAAAATTTCTCTGTTATTATAAAATATATAAAAATTATTTTAAACAAAATTAAAAGTTGTCAATTATAGTAAAATGTGTATAAATTTGTTGTAAATAAGTTAGACTGATAGTAAAATTATTTAATATGTCCATTAGCTTAAATTGTTAATAATATATATATATATATATATATATATATATATATA